GGGGGGTCCTGTGGGGGGCTGGGGGGTCCTGAAGGTGCTCGGGGGGGGTCTGGGGGTGCCCAGGGGGGGTCTATGGGTGCCAGGGGGGGTCTATGGGTGCCAGGGGGACCCCATGGGGCCCCTTGGTGTCCTGGGGGGTCACTGGGGTCACCTGAGCCCTGCAGGTGCTGCCTGCAAGCTCTGACAGCTCCGGGGGTCCCCGTGCAGCCCCCGATGAGGGGAGGGGGGTCCAGGGGGTCCCGATGGCTCCTGGGGGGGTCCCCACACCCCCAGAGCTGACGTCAGTCCCTGTGGTCCCTTATGGCTCCTGTGGGTCCCCTTATTGTCCCTGCAGCTGCTGGGGGTCCCTGGGGGTCCCTGAGGGTCCCTCTGGTCCTTGGGGGTCCCTGTGGTCCTTGGGGTCCCTGGGGGTCCCGGGGGTCACTGTGGTGCTTGGGGGTCCCTGGAGGTCCCGGGGGGTCCTTGTGGAACCCGGGGGTCCCTGCGGGTCCTTGGGGGTCCCGGGGGGTCCTTGTGGATCCCGGGGGTCCCTGAGGGTCCCTGTGGTCCTTGGGGGTTCTTGGGGGTCCCGGGGGTCCCAGGGGTCACTGTGGATCCCGGGGGTCCCCGCTGCTCCTCACAGCCTCTGCCGCTCCCCGGGGATCCCCGCGGCTCCGAGGGGTCCCTGCAGCCCCCCGGGGGTCCCCGCGCCCCCTCCCCAGCCGCCACAACCCCGGGGGTCCCAGGGGTCACTGTGGATCCCGGGGGTCCCCGCTGCTCCTCACAGCCTCTGCCGCTCCCCGGGGATCCCCGCGGCTCCGAGGGGTCCCTGCAGCCCCCCGGGGGTCCCCGCGCCCCCTCCCCAGCCGCCACAACCCCCGGCGGAGCCCGGGGGTCCCCCCCGCCCCGCTGCCCGCTGCCCTCGCTCCCCGTGCCCGCTCCCCTCCTCGCCGGGGCCCCGCTCCCGTCCCCGCCTGCTCCCCAACCCCCCGCGGACCCCGGGGGTCCCCCCCGCCCCGCTGCCCGCTGCCCTCGCTCCCCGTGCCCGCTCCCCTCCTCGCCGGGGCCCCGCTCCCGTCCCCGCC